AAATAAATTCAAGGCATCATAGTCCTGGAATGTTAACTGCAAGGTCAGTGGTTCAAACCCACTCTTAGAACTAGAGAACTGAAACCACTCTTGGAACCCTATACAGGGTGGCTATGCATCAGAACCAACTGGAAGGCCCTTAACACAACAACATACTCAACTATGCAAATGTGACCTACTATGCAAATGAAGTGACTGTGACCTACTGAGAGAGGATTGGTCAGTTTGTGGTCCTGAACAGTGAGCCATGCCTTGAAATTGACCAGGAGTTTGTTTATATATGCAGCCAACCCCACAGAAGTTGGCAAGAAGCAGAAAGAAGAGGCAAAGGGAGAGAAGAACAAAGAAGTAGAGTGAGAGGAGACAAGGAAGCTCTTGGAGAGCTGTGACACAGGTCAAGATCTATAACAATGAAGAGAGCAAGACGAGGGAGACAATGACAGGCCTGGAAGGGGCCCTGTGGTAGAGTCTGAGGAAACAGCAGCAATCTATTTGTAGGAGTGCAGCTAAGAGAGCTGAACAAAACGACTACACTGGCAATGAGAGGGGTCAGTAAGAGTGGAGAGGTAGATGAGAGGGAGGCTGAAGGCAGCCATTCCTGTCCTGAGTGGGTTGAGAGAAGGCCCGCGTAGCTGGGAGAGGACCCTGCTTGCTTGCATAACCAAGCAGAGATGGGAGATGCCCTGTGCTGAAGAAAGGTAGGGTGTGCTCTCTGCTTGGGGAGGACCCTTCCAGACTGTGCCGGTGTGCTTGCTAATGCTGATCTTGAGTTGTCGTCTATTGATCCTGATCTGGAATAGTACTCTGTTACTGTCCTAATCAATCACATATGCAATTATGGTCTGTGAGTTCTGCGTCACCATTGAAAACCCAAATTATCAAATCCAGATGAGAAGAGAGCTGCATCAGAACTGGTGAGAAGGTTGGAGAGTGGAGGTAGGTCTGACTCCACCTCAGACGCATCAGCCTTTCGTCTACCCATTATCCCCACGCTGACGTTAGACAGGTTCTGATGCCTCTACTACAATCATTTTACCACGTGCAACAGGAATGGCCATTTTTATTTCAATCCTGCATCTTCCTATTAGGTTAACGTCGTGGCTGTTAAGTGCCGTTGAGTCAGTTCCGATTCATAGCGACACTGTATAGGGTTTCCAAGGAGCAGCTGGTGAGCTTGAACTGCCCAACACGCAGTTCAAATCGACCTATTGTTCAATGCATTAACCCACAGTACCACACCAAGACTCCATTAAGTTAATACAATTCTTCAATTAACCCGAGAAGCAAATCCTTTGTTGTGTTAAGTGTCAAATGGAGGAGAAACTGTGGGGCAAGTCCTGGAGTTGGGGATGGGGTCTTGCACAGAAAATCAGAATGAATGGTAGTTGTGAATGGTTAACAGTGGGGCAGGAGTACTGGTCTCCCTGAAAGGGTGGGAGGCTTGGAAGGGAAAGCTGCTGACCTTCATCTAAGGATTAGGATGGGCTGTTGTTGCTGTTGTTATTGTTAAGTGCCACTAAGTTCATTCAGACTCCCAGCAAGCCTACATGAAAGAAAGAACTGATCCAGTGTGTACATTTCCCTGGTCCCGTCTCTGAGGAGTCTGAAGAATCTATCACACTGAGTCGTCACTTCTCAATCACACACATACAAGAAGCCTTCACTCAGAAGCACTTTTATTACAAAGCAAAAGTACACTTCAAGGAGAGAAGTGGGTCTGTCTCCTTGAGTACAGACAACCCTGTGAGATTGGGGTGTGCTAGTTTATAAAGGCATAGAGTCTCCTTGTTCAAGAGTGGGCTAAAACATGTTGATTAGAGGGAGTGGTATGTTGACATTTCTGTTAAATCTTCATCTGTATTCTTGGAAGAGGGGCATAGACTTCTGAGACTCTGGTTGACACCCCATTTCTGGTTTAAGATAGCTGGCTCTGTCATGGTGATTTCCATGTTGATTGTAAACTGTCATAGCTCCAACTGTTGTGATTTTTAGTATAACAATGAGGTAAATATTGAGCTAAGGCCAGAGTTACCTCAAAGCTGCTTGAGCTTTTATGTCACAAACCTCAAGTCGTGTCTGGGACTTTTATGGTTCAGCTATTTTGGGTGGTCTGAAGGTGTCTCCCCAACTTCTCTTGATCCCTGCCTAGTAGGGGAGGACTCAGGGCAAAGATGTGGATACGAAACCATTGCAGGTAAGGCCCAGGGGTTCTAACCAGTCCTTGGCAATAATGTTTTTTAGGCTGTAATCTTTTCTTGTCTCAATTTTGCTAGGCTGTAAGCTTCCTAAGGAGTCCTGGTGTGGCGCTGTGGGTTAATGTGCCAGACTGCAAAGCTGTTTGAACTGCAAGGGTGGCAGTTCAAGCTCACCAGCTGCTCCTTGGTCGGAATCGACTCAACAACACTTAAAACAACAACTATCTTTATGGAGCTCTGGTAGTGTAGTGCTTACAAGTCAAGCTGCTAACCTCAAGGTCAGCTGTTCGAAACTACCAGCTGTTCAAAACTATCAGCAGTTCTGCTGGAGAAAGATAAGACTTTCTGCTCCCTTAAAGATTAACAGCCTCAGAAGCTGTATGCAGGGTCACAGGGTCACTGTGAGTTGGAATCGACACCACAGAGTACCGCCATCACCAGCTCTTTCCCCCGTGGGACTGCTGGCGTGCTTGACTGCGCCTCATGGTTAGCAGCTGATCAGAGGCACTAGGTCTCTTTAGGGTGGACTGGATATCCTATTTTACAGCATAAAACTCATTTTCAGAATATCTGCACAGGAGTCACATCTTGATCAAATTCTCACTTTCTTACTGTGAAACTCTGAGAAGCTTCTTAGTCCCTCTCAGCTTCAGCCTTATGGGGTCTTAACAATATTAAAGTGATCACACTAGTTTTTGTTGTTGTTATGTGCCATTGAGTCAGTTCTGACTCAGGGTGACCCTGTATAGGGTTTCTGAGGAGTAGCTGTTGGGGTTGAACTCCTGACCTTGTGGTTAGCAGTCCAGTGCTTATCCTACAGTGCCACACCATGAGTCCATGATCACATTTAACTAATGTAAAGCATTGCTGCTACTGTATGCTATCGAATTAGTTCTGACTCATAGAGACCCTGTGTAGAGTTTCAGTAGCTATAAATCTTTGTGGGAGAGGCTGATGGGATCGAACTGCCAACTTTGAAGCTAGCAGTCCAACACGTAACCCACTACACTAGCAGGCTACTTCTATAAAACATTATGAAGTGCTAATTATCATTATTATTAATACTTGAAGTATTGAAGGGTTGCTGTTGTTGTTGTTGAGTGCTGTCCAGCAGGTTCCGACCCAAAGCAACCCTTTGTAAGGTTTCTGAGGAGTGTGGCTGGTGAGCTTGAGCCATTGATCTTGCAGTTCAAACCTATTTGCAGTCCAGCACATTAACCCATAGCGATTGAGAGGTTATTGTTGTTGTTAAGTACCATAGAGTCGGTTCTGACTCATAGTGACCCTGCACAGGGTTTCCGAGACTGCAAATCTTTACAGGAGCAGAAAGACTCATCTTTCTTCCATGGAACAGCTGGTAGTTTCGAACTGCCAACCTTGAGGCTAGCAGCCCAATTCATAACCATGTAATTATTTCTAAGACCTATTATCTTGTGAAAGCTGGACAGTGAATAAGGAAGACCATAAAATAATTGATGCTTCTGAGTTACGGTGTTGGAGGAGAATATTGAAAGTACCATAGACTGCCAAAAGAGCCAACAGATCTGTTTTGGAAGAAGTATAGCCAGAGTGCTCCTTGGAGGCCAGGATGGCCAAACTTCGTCTCTCAAATTTCAGACATATTGTTAGGAGGGACCAGTCGCTGGAGAAGGATATCATGTATGGTAAGGTGGAGGGTCAGAGAAAAAGAGGAAGACCTCCAGCGAGATGGATTGGCAACGTGGCAACATCAGTGAGCTCAAGCATGGCAACATTGTGAGGTTGACCTAGGACCGGTCAGTGTTTCATTTTATTGTGCACAGGCTTGCTATGATTCGGTACCAACTCGATGGCACCTAACAGCAACACTATCAAATGGTACAGAGGAAAAGAATAAAGTTAGATGGAGATGAAGCAAATGCTGCCAAATGCTAGTAATTGATGGTTATAGGTTAGGAGTACTCCTTAAAATAGAGCAAAAGTTGAGGGAAAAATTAAAGATCTATACGCAGATAGTCCCCAACTTATAACTTGTTCAAGTCACAATGAGCCACACTTACAACTGTTATTTCCTATTGTCCATCTGGTCGTTGTACCATCTTGTGGTGTGTAATTTATTGATGTCATCTTATCTGTAATTTTATATGTAATATTTTCAACTGACAAAAGACAAATAGGAGTCCTGGTGTGGTGCTGTGGGCTAATGCACTGGGCTGCAAAGTTAGTTTGAAATGTAAAGTCAAAGGTTCAAACTCACCAACTGTTCCTTGAAAACCCTATACAGGGACTCTATGAGTCAAAACTGACTCGGTGATACTTAGCAACAAAACCAAATATGAGTGAAAATCAGATTTATAAAAGTGCTGATAATAAAAGGCAATAATAATGAAAACTTTAAAAACGGAAGTATTTGACTTACATCAGACCTGTCTGATGAAATGCTGATGTGAATCAGAGAGTCGCTCTAATGAGGAAAACGGTATCACTGTGCCTTTCTATACTTTGCTTGGGAACATAGGAAAGGTTCTTGTTCCCTCCAATTCTCTTTCTTGAGAGGTAAAAATGAAGAGAAAAATTAGCCCTACCTTACCTGTTCCCTAAATATTGTAAGACCCCTAGCCATTGTGTTGTTGTTGTTGTTGTTGTTGTTAAATGCCATTGAGTCAGTTCCGACTCACACAGGGTTTCTGAGCAGTGGCTGGTGGGTTTGAATTGCCAACCTTGCAGCTGAAAATGACATTGTGATCCAGTGCATTATCCTGCAGCGGCACACCAGAACTCCAGCTATTGTAATTGATGTCAAATAACATGAGAAAACCAGTTACCATGGCGTTTATTCCAACTCACGAGGACCCCATGTATGTCACAGTAGAACTATGCTCCAGAGGATTT